AAGACTGTGTGAAAGCTGTCTTCCCTGTGTGTCTTCTGTCTTCTGTCTTCTGTCTCCCATCCCTGTGTGTCTTCTGTCTTGACCTCTCAGTGTACATGTTTAAGGGATGACTCTGCCCAAACGGATTCAGGGCGCTACTTCAAAGGGTGGAGCACTTCGTTAATTCACAAGTTTCTCAGTTCCCTCACCTTTATGAGAGTTATAAGCATCAAAGGTTGCAAAGTAGTATGGGCGTAAGCTACTTCCCTGACTAAAGCTTCGTAAGTTTTTTTGATAGCAAATATGTAGTGGGTAGTGACAAAGATGAGCAATTTCAACATTGCCTTTTCCATTCAATCGGGTATTAGGATTGATTAGGAAGAGGTGAATATAAAGAAAGGAAGCGGTGCCTCTTACCAGTAGTGCAGCTCGAACGTCAATCAAATGATTCAAAGATGAGAATTTTGATTTTGTAAGTGTGCAACACTGGACATCTTGTAGTTTTGATGAGGACGATTCAAAAGCCTTCACGAAAGATGTCATATCAAGCCGACATTCGCACCATCACGCTTATTCTGCATATATCTGCCCTCAGTCCTGACGGATCTTTACACCTGTAGGAGGTCTCGAACACCAGTGTGACTTGCCGAATCGCCATCTATTTCAGGCTCAAAAAATTCAACGAATTCTGAAGAACATGGGAGATCAACGGCCCCTTGGTCTGCACGGTCAACATAGCGCACTCCCTTCCCTAACCGGAACGCCCTCGCGGGTGGTTCGGCAACGTATGAAAGATAATGAAGGTGGGCACTATTTTCTAAAGCACAGTAACCTCCTCCACCGTATCCAACAATTCGAGCACGCGAGCCGAACAATAAAATTCGACATGATTGCCAAAAAAGGCGTTATGCGCTTGGTAGAATTATGAGGAGAAAGCGAATGGAATGGCTGAGGATGGCTACACAAAGAGACTTTCTGGTGTCGCAGCAGAATACGGCGGCTACAATTGAAATGCTAAATAATTTCATCTTC